CACGGAACTTCAAAGACAGAAGGTTACTGATTTAAGCACGGCCATGGGAGCCGCTGAATGCTTGAGCGACTACCAAACAGAATCTAGAAAAGATCGACCTTCGAGGAGTAATCAAGCAATTGGAGGTGGTAACAGATCTTACAGACCCAGCTCGAACCCAAATGGGGGAGAGCGCTACTCTCAAAATAGAGAAGGAGCCTATCAAAGCACCCGTGGCTTTCAGGGAAATTATCATAACAGCCGTCAGGGAAATTTTAACGGCAGTAATAGTAACAACTGGAACAAAGGGAAAGCAACGGAGGGCCGAACTGATGCCACTCTCAAATTGAAGTGCTTTTTATGTGAAGGACCTCATCGGGTGTCGGAGCGTCCTCAGAAGCGGATGGTGAATGCATATTGTCAGTTAGCAAGTGGCGGGCCAAGTTCAAAACAAGAGGTCCCGCAAGCTAATTGTCATAATGAGATTGACTCTGAAGAGGATGAGAAAGTAGTTGGGGCATTTTCACATTGATGCAACACACTATCGCATCGGGTTGCTGAAAAGGATGATGTCCCATTGAAAGAGGCAAAGATGGAAGAAGCGAATGCTCGTATTTGTAGGGCCAAAGGCTTAATGTTCATTGATGTAAAAATCAATGGAAAGCCAATCAAGGCTATTGTGGATACTGGTGCTACCCACAACTACCTTGCATGTACCGAAGTAGAGTGGGTTCTAGAAAAGGGTAGTGGAAAAGTCAAAGCAATCAACTCCGCTGCTCAACCAATAGCTGGAGTGGCGAAATCGGTGTTGATCAAAGTAGGTCCTTTCGAGGGAAGGACAAACTTATCTGCAGTTCAGATGGATGATTTCAAGCTTATTCTGGGATTGGAATTTCTTCGGGATACTAAGACAGCAGTGTTGCCATATTCCGATTCGTTAATGATGATGGGTAATAAGCCGTGTGTCATCCCTACAGAGGTTGGGAGGATGAGCGAGAAGAGTATCTCAGCCATGCAATTTAGTAAAGGTTTCAAGAGAAATGAACCCTCCTTTTTGTGTACTCTTCAATTAGAGGAGGTCGAAGAGGCGAACGGTCCTATTCCAAAACCCGTTAAAAGGTTTATTCGGGAATTTGAGGACATCATGCCGGAAGAATTACCAAAGAAATTACCACCAAGAAGGACGATTGATCATGAGATCGAACTTATTCCAGGCGCTAAAGCTCCTGCCAGGGCACCATACCGTATGTCTCAGCCTGAGCTTGAAGAGCTTAGGAAACAGTTGGGGGAAATGTTGGAGAGTGGAATCATTGTGCCTGTGAAGTCGCCATACGGAGCTCCTGTATTGTTTCAGAAAAAGACTGATGGTTCTCTTAGAATGTGCTGTGACTATCGAGCCCTGAACAAGATTACTGTAAAGAATAGCTATCCTATCCCACTGGTTGCAGATTGTTTCGATCGATTGAGTCGGGCGAAGTATTACACAAAAATTGATCTTAGGTCCGGATACTGGCAAGTTCGGATTAAGGAGGGAGACGAAGCAAAGACTACGGTGGTAACCAGATATGGAGCCTTTGAATTTAAGGTGATGCCTTTTGGTTTGAAAAATGCTCCAGCAACATTTTGTACTATGATGAATCAGGTACTTCACGGGTTCTTAGATGATTTTGTCGTGGTGTACTTGGATGACATAGTAATCTACAACGAGACATTGGAGGAACATGTCCAGCATGTGAGGCAAGTTTTTAATCGGCTACGAGAGAATGAACTTTATGCTAAGCCGTCTAAATGCTCATTTGCTCAGACATCTATCAGTTTCTTGGTTCACATCATTGAACAAGGCAATTCGCATGGATTCGAAGAAGGTTACAGCCATCAAAGATTGGCAACCACCAAAAACCGTACATGATGTACGTTCATTTCTTGGGTTATGCAATTACTATCGAAGATTTGTGAAAGGCTACTCAGAAATTGCACTGCCCCTTACTGAATTGACAAAGAAGGATAAGGATTGGGATTGGTCATCCCAATGTCAAGCTGCTTTTGAAAGGTTGAAGAAGTCCATGTGGACGAACCCGGTTTTAGCCTTACCGGATATGGCTAAACCATTCGAAATTCATACAAATGCTTCAGATTTTGCCCTTGGGGGAGTCCTCATGCAAGAAGGACATCCGGTAGCATATGAGAGCCGAAAGTTAAACCAGACAGAACGTCGTTACTCGGCACATGAAAAGGAATTGTTAGCAGTTGTCCATTGTCTCAGAGGATGGCGTCATTATCCGCTTGGGTCTCCATTTATTGTGAAGACAGATAACACTGCAGTTAGTCACTTTATGTCCCAACTAAAACTATATAGCAAACAGGCTCGTTGGCAAGAATTCCTTTCAGAGTTCAATTTTATGTTAGAGTATCGTCCCGGCTCTAGTAATCATGTTGCTGATGCTCTTAGTCGACGGGCCGATTTAGCTACCATCTGCTCTGTAGCTGCTCTTTCAGGGAGCGCAGTCTCCACGAACACTAGAGACCAAATTCGGGCACTTATGGAGAAGGACCCGGCTACCTAATATTTGGTCGACAGTTCTGGCTAGATGGGAAACTAGTGAAGACAAAGGGAGACCGCCTATATGTTCCTAAGAGTGGAGATCTGAGGAAATCACTAATTACGGAATGCCATGACACAATTTGGGCGGGGCATCCCGGAGAGGAACGCACTTGTGCACTACTACAACGTGCATACTACTGGCCTCAAATACGGGACGACATTGCAACATATGTAAAAACTTGTCTCATTTGTCAGCAAGATAAGGCAGATCATCAGAAAAAGGCGGGCTTGCTGGAGCCCCTTTCCGTTCCATCCCGGCCATTTGAAAGTGTATCGATGGACTACATTATCGGGTTGCCAAAAGTTGAGGATTTTGGCACTATCATTGTCGTGGTGGACCGTCTATCAAAATTTGTAACTTTCATTGCAGCGCCTAAGTATGTATCTGCGGAAGAGACAGCTCAACTCTTCTTCAAACATATTGTCAAATACTGGGGGCTGCCTAAGGACATAATCAGTGATCGAGATCCTCGTTTCACTGGCATATTTTGGACTGAGTTGTTCAAACTTCTTGGTTCAACTTTGAGCATGAGTTCCAGTTTTCACCCACAATCTGACTGACTGACGGAGCGCTTCAATTCTATGCTAGAAGAATATCTTCGGCACTTTATCTCTACTTCGCAGAAAAACTGGGTAAAACTTTTGGATGCGGCCCAAATTTGCTTCAATGCCCAAAAGAGCTCTTCCACCAATAAGAGTCCTTTTGAGATTGTTACTGGCTAGCAACCGCTACTCCCTCATACGGTGGATATTGAACGAAGTACCAAGTCCCCTCAAGCAAAGAGCTTTTCTCAAGAGTGGAAACGAAATATTGAAATTGCTCGGAGTTATCTTGAAAAAGCTCAAAAACGGTATAAAAAGGCTGCAGATCTAAAGCGCCGTTTTATTGAATTGAATGTTGGAGATCTGGTAATGGTTAAGCTTTTCGACAGAATTGTTTACAAGCCAACAAGAGGGAAGGACTCAAGGTTGTCACCAAAATACATTGGAACATTACCCATTGTGAAGAGGATTGGAAGAGTTGCATACAGAGTTGAACTCCCTTCATGGTGTAAAATCCACAAGGTCCTTCATGTTAGTGTGTTAAAGCCATACTTTTCGGATAAGGAGGATGCATCTAGAAATGAGCCAAAGCGACCTGTATTTGAACTGAAGAAAGCTGGAAAGAAGGTTGCTGAAGCTATTCTTGACCATCGAATCACTCGGGCTTCTAGAAAAGATCATCAGGAGTACTTGGTCAAATGGATGGGATGCAGCAGCGAGGAGAATACTTGGGAAAGAGAAAAAGATCTCGGGGCCTTCAAATCATTAATTGAAGCGTATCACGCATTGATGGCACCGAGGACGTCGCCAAAACAAATGGGGGAGAATGTCAAGGACCGCAACTTTACTTAGCCCCTTGACACTATCGCAGCCGCAGTTTGCCCAACTTCGGCCGCACATTGTAAATATTACTTCAAGTTTGAGTTGTAATTTTCGTTTCATTGTAATAGTTATTTTAATTGTAAAATAGCTCTGATATTGGTAAAAGATTAGTATGATTCCTCGTCTTTTAAACGTCTACTCCCGTCACTTGGGTTTTTGTTCAGAATGCTATTATAGGGGATATTAGTCATTCAAAAATCTTTCAAGCTCACTGGTGTCCGCACCCTGCACCAGCATTTGTAATTTTCTGCTTTCATCAATTGTAATGTTCAGTTTTCATCAATCAATGTTCAATTTACTTTCAATGTATTCAAATTCTCAATTGTAAGTTTTCTACAAAATTGCAATCAAATTTTCTTTCGTTCCGACGCGGCTGAGAAAAGGCGGAAGGTAGTCTAGCGGAGCAGACTACTGCACACGGTATCCCTTTCTGTGCCAAGAAGAAAGGCACCCCGTGAAACCTCGTGTTGCTAAGGTGTGGCATTAACGTCTCCAGCGTGAAGCGACTGGATGGGGTTGTGGAGATTAAGAGGGGAGTTGAGGAGAGCAGTTGTGGGGTTCGGTCGGCGAGGCTTGTCAGATTTCAGTCACAAATCTAAATTTGTGGCGGTTTGCAACTATTTTATCGTGGTTGGGGAGAGCAGAGGTAGAGTCCAGTCGCACTACAAGAAATATATACTTTCCCTACAAAAATTCCGTAGACAAATTAAAATTTGTGAGCGGAGTTCACTTTTCCTTACAAAAAGACATTTCGTAGGGTTATAATTTGATTCAAAATTTTTAATAGTGGAAGAACTTGGGACCACAAAAAATTTTATTCTTTTCAAATAATAAAATTTGAAGGGAAAAATACATATTTAGCCTACAAAAAATTTGATCTGTTTGTAGGCTAATAATTAGTGGGAAATTTTTCCAATTTAAAACACGCAAAATTTTTAAAACACGGAAAACGGCCGCTTCTTTCTCTTTTTCCATCACTGTGCGTGAGAGAACCATGGAAGAACTGCCGCCTTCTTCCTCAACAATCGACCACCACCCGCCACCTAGACCACCAGATCCCACTACCATTCGAACCCCCTCACCTTCCTCTTCAACCTCTAGTCATCATCGGGCCACGGAGTTGTTGTCGAAAACATCCCCAATCACCACTCAAAACCGTGCTACCAATCACGATTTTCGCCATATTTCCACCACCGTCAGCCACTATTTCGATTGCAGACCACCACCACTCTCCTCCTCTCAACCAGGCCCATCCAGTACCACCATGGGCCACCTGTAATTTTGTTCAGAATCGAGAGAGCTTGTGAAAGCAGTTCGTGAGTGCTCTAATTTGTGTTTTTTTTTTTAAATTTTAATTATTATTATTATTGATTGGTTCACTGTTTGGTCTTGTCCTTCAGACCCGTTCAGACCCAAAACTATAATCTGGTTTTTGAATAAAAATTCATTTAGTGAAAGATCATTTGATTATCCGATTTAAGGTGAGTTTATCAGAAGCATTTGAACTCTTATTCCATTTTTGTTTTATTATACAATGTAATTATGTAAATTGCTGTCTAAAAGAGTAAAGAGTCATCAGTAGAACTAGATTTTTTATCAAAAAAATTACTAACTCTTTGCTGTATCTTTTACTGTAGTAGTTTGTCATTGTACATGTTTAGCGTTGATTGCTAGAGAAAGAATCATTTGAGAAAACATACTTTGCTTCCAAGGAAAAACAGAGATGTTATCTTTTTTTGGGAAAAGTTTCAATTTTTTGTATTGACAAAAATGGGTTCTAACATGAATATTGGCATACAGTTGGATGGAATTGAACAATATAATTATCATTTTTTTACTCTATATATGCCATAATTCTTGTATTGGTAATTTTTTAAAGGCAAATTCTTTTTTCTCCCTTAATTTTTTTTTATTTTCATTTTTAATTTTTTGGCATTTTTTTGTTATTTTCTTGAATTAATAGTGAATCCATTTAAATTTGGACAGAATGATGAATGGAAGATTACAGAAATTTCTCTACATTCTTGTTTATATGCTGATTGTGATAAGAACAGAAGGATTTTTGGTTGATATTACTTATGTTCAGAGTGATGTGGCAAAAGGGGCAGACAAAACATTAAGGGTCAACGTTTAGAGCAAAATTTTTTTTTTTTTTTTTTTTTTTACGTGCACATATATATTTTTTAAAAAGATTCAATATTTATTTTTTTGCTTTGTGTTTGCAGTTTGTTTAGACTGTAGTCCACCGGCATATCATTTTGATACGGGATCTGGTGCAGGAATTAACAATTGGTTGGTTCATATCGAGGTTAGTCCTTTTTTCATAAGCTATTAAAATATATATACAGTTTTTTTATGGCAACAGAATGGATCATTGAAAGATTATACTTTAGATCATCCTAGGAAATAAGAGTAGTTACCTGATTTTTTTAAAAGAATATAATTCATACAATAGGAAAAGATGTAGTAACTATGTTTGAAACATAGTAAAAATGATGATGTTGAGATCAACAAACATCACAATGGAATTGATTAAATTATATAGAATAAAACTTATCTTCTTCTTGTTGCATTTTTGGCAATCAAACTGAGTATTTCACTTTTGATTTTGCCATCCATGTACCAGAGATATATTTGGCCAAATGCTTGAACCTGTTGAAACTGAATATTTTAGTACAGAAAGTTAAACATACTGTTTTTTATTATTTCATATCGCTTTGACCGCTTGAATGGTTTTCATCCGGATTTTTCACAGGTCACGTCCAAGTTATGCATAAAAATAATGAATTTTCATCCTCTCTAATAACTCAACAAAATATGTTAATCTTCGTGTCCAGGGAGGAGGATGGTGCAACAATGTCACTACCTGCCTTGAACATAAAGACAATCGCTTAGTTTCCTCCAAGCAAATGGCTAAGCAGGTTGTATTTTCTGGGATTTTGAGCAACAAGATAAAGTTTAACCCAGGTTTACTTCACATTTTTTATTGATTCTGATTTTGTTAAAACTTTTATATTTTTCAGTGTTACCTTTAATAAATATGGCCTCTATTTGAATTTCCAGATTTCTATAATTGGAATAGGATAAAGGTTAGATATTGTCATGGAGCATCATTTACTGGATATAGAAGCAGTGGATATAATGAAATGGCATCATATAAAAAATATGATCCCTTATATTTTCTTTTTCACTTTCTAGAAGTCGTTAGATATAATGAAATGGCAGTTTTCAAACATATAGTGAATTTCTTTGTTGTTTGAATATATATGGAAACTTCTAATTTTTGGGTCAATATTCGATCAGGCTACTAAACTTTACTTCAGAGGAGCAAGAGTTCTTGTTGCTATCATCGAGGATTTCTTAGAAAAAGGAATGAAGAATGTTGAAAATGCATGATTTTCTCTTATGTTTTTTCCTCCAACTTCGACTGTATTCTTACTTGCTATTGTTAACTTGAGTGTTCTTATGTAGCCATTCTGTCTGGATGTTCAGCCGGTGGATTAGCATCGATTTTTCCTTATTATCTATATTTTGTTATAGAACGTTAAGAAGACTTCCTTCTTATATAGGTTTATTGAAAAACTGTAGCAAGACATTCCTCGTGAATTGATCAAGAAACAATTAGAGGGACTATGTGTTATCTATTACTTAATCCACATTCACAAGCACCAGAGTGATTTCATTGCTACAAGCTGCATAGCTCAAAAGCAAGCTTGCTAATGATCAGCTCATAGCTTTGTATTCTTTTACTGTATTTTCTTTGAATCACTAGTCATTTCTTTTTTTATTCTTTTACTGGATGCCTGTAAATTGAAAATTACCTAGTTTGGATTTGAATGAACTATAAATTTTGTTATATTTGTGTTTTGATAAAATATTTTGATTTAATATTACATTGGTTGACACATGTTTAATTAATTTATAGTCTTTGGTCTTTTTATATTATTTTGAATAAGGTTAAAAAAACTACTAATTGATAAGCAAAAAAATATATATATGTGAAATAATTTAATTTCTCCCTACAAATTCTTTCAAAATAACCTACAAATATGTTTTCCATACAAAATTATTTTTAAATAGGGTTTAGCCCACAAAATAATATGTACCATGTCAGAAATATTCTTTTCCCACAAGATTTATTTGTAGGGAAAAGCGTAATTGTTTTATGGGTAAAATTAACTTTAGCAGACGAATGATTTTGTAGGGGAAAAACTTACACGAGGAATTGTGTTTGTCTCCAAAGGATTCGTAGGAAAAATCTTTAGCTCACAAATTTAAAAAATTCGTCGTCTTATACCTTTTTTCTCGATGTTTGTTCTACAAATGTGCCTACAAAAACTTTTCGTCTGCAAAGATTTTTTTCTACAAATATGAACCTCTCCCTACAAATTTTATTTGTAGGGAAAGTATAAATTTCTTGTTGTGTTGGCGAGACTTATATATTTCAGTCACAAAATTTAAATTCTTTATTCATTTTATAATGAATAATAGAATTTGTGGTTGATGATTACAAATAATCGTTTTATATGACATCTTATGTAGCAATTTATTATTTGAGATATTAATTTTTAATAATTTTAGTGCCTCAAATAACAAGTTAATTTCTCAAATGATAAACTATAACATAAAATGACTATTGCAATCGTCGATTATAAATAGTATTATTTTTTTATTATTCTTCATAGGCGTCCAACTTTCACAATCAAAAAGCGATGTTATCTCCTTTACATATAAGACTTGTCTGGTGTAGTTTAAAAATTTAAAATAAACTTGACAATTAATTTTTACTATACATATATATAATTTTAATTTTTATCAATTTTTCAATTACACGTTTAGTGATTTGATCTCCTTTACATATAAAACTTGTCTGGTGTAGTTTAAAAACAAACTTGAACATTAATTTTGACTATGAGTTCTTCGATAATGATTATGAGAATTTATTTTTTGATTGTTAGGGAAAAAAATGGGAGCTACCTTTAAATGAAGAAGTAAAAAATGATGATTGAAATAGTGAAATAACAGTTAAAATTTTAAATTTTTGGAATGAAAAACCATCAAACGGGGCCTATATATATAATTATTAACTTTCCTCCATGACTCAGAAGTACGCGTCACTCAAACAGCGACTTCTAAGCCACGTGTCAATTTGCAGCATACGTGTCACAAATTCTTCTTCCAGACTAGCCGCCTAAGTTACCACGTGTCATCTAGTCCTTTCACCAGTAGATATATATATACACACACTTCATGCTGTAAGCATTTGTCGTTATCAGTTGAATTTGTTCAAAGCAGTGAAAATCACATAGTTTTACTTAAGCAGTTAAAAATGTCTTCCCAGCAAGAAAGAGTCGAGCTTGACGCCAGGGCAAAGCAAGGTGAGACGGTGGTGCCGGGTGGCACCGGCGGAAAAAGCCTCGAGGCCCAAGAACACCTTGCTGAAGGTAACACCATTTTTTTACTCGACGAGAGCAATTGTTACACTATAATAATCAAATACAGTCCATTATATATTTTAACTTCTCTTTTTCTTCAATACTGTTTAGGGAGGAGTAAGGGAGGGCAGACGAGGAAGGAGCAGCTGGGAACTGAAGGATATCAAGAAATGGGTCGCAAAGGCGGACTGAGCACTGGGGACAAGCCAGGAGAAGAACGTGCACGGGAGGAAGGAATCGAGATAGACGAGTCCAAGTTTAGAACTTAGAGATGAATCATCTGAGTCTGTACTTTACTGAGTAGAACGTACTAGGTTTTCGAGTTTGTTAATGTAGGTCTCGTCTGGTTATATATAAGTACTGTTATGCTGTATTTCGTTTGCAATGTGTTCTTTTCGTAAGGTTTGTTGGCTATAGAGTTTTGAGTGATCTGTGTTTTTGACATATTTAAACAATTAATATATTATATTAATTATAAGTGGGATAGTATTAAAATAATTAAAAATATATTGAAAAACAAAATGTAAGTTATTCTTGCAATAATAATAAGAATTAGAATCGTAATTGTTATAATATTTAATATATTATAGATATCAGAGGGCCCAACATCTATTATATAGTGCCGGACAAATATGTGTGGATTGAAATTTAATTTTTTTTTTCAATGAAATTATACCATAAAAGATGTTCCATGCCACGAGATTTAATTTTAAAAAAATAAATTCATGACACTTAAAACAAATATTTCAGATACTCAAACAAATATAAATTTAGATTTTAATCATAAGATAATAATTGTCTTTGGAGTTTTCCTTGTCAAGGAATCGATGTCATCCTTAAAAAATATAAAGGGCAGAAGCATGAGCGAATGATATATAGTATATACCCATCAATTATCTACAGAAATTTGATTACCAATCATTTTAAACAATTGAAACTTTTGGTCAGTACGTAATACAATAAAAATATGATTGAACGTCATTGGTTTCAAAATACTATTCGAAGTAAGCATGAATTTTTTTTATACCAATACACTCGAATGCCACCTCAAGTGAAAACAAAATGACCAGAAACATAAAGTCAAAAGAAAATTAATTTAATTCTACATCCATGTTTGACTCACTACAATAATATACTTATAATCAAATTAATTTATAAATAAATAATTTTTAACAAATATTTTTTATTGATGAAATTCAATTAGAGCAAATTATTTATTTTGATAATAGCAATAAATAAGTTTTTAACTCACAAGTATATATAAATAATATATGAAAAATACATAAGAAAAAATTTAATTACGGTTAAGTTTAGTCAAACGTGGTTAAAAATAAGTCATATATTTTTACTTTATCAATAAATATTATTTTTTATAAAATAAACTAACTTAATTATGGATGTTCCTTTAAATTTAGTTAAATATATATGAAATAAAGTACTTAATTTGATAGCAAATTATTTGTGTATCATGAATGTGAAAATAAATATTTAATTGTTGTAGTGTCTTATCCTAAATTCCCATAAGAACTTAGTTGGGTTAAAATTAAATTTTGTGTTGAGCTAAATTCTTATTCCTTTTGATTTGTGGAAATTACTCACCAACATGAATTTAAAGATCACAATTTATAAATTAGAGATTAGGTTTATTTATTCACAATTCAGATGATTAATTCATATTATAATTAATCTACAATTCAATCTCACCTACCCCATCCCCAATTTCAAAACCTCTCCCTCTCTCTCTCTCTCTTATTTGTCTCGGTCCAGTGTAGTAGTCGATGCAAAATTCCTTGGGCCGGCTTCGACTCTCCCTTCTTCCCTCTCACACTTCCAAGAAGCTTCATTCCAGCACTTTGCCACAGCACTCGACGGTGCAACGCTGATTGAAGAGGTTGTGAGTGCCATTGGGCGACATTGCAGCGCATGGTGGTAAAGCGCCAAAACAAAGCGCTTATGAGCAACTCAGCATGGATTGTAGTTGGCTATGCCACCACTAACAACCACTACTTGATGCTTTGTCGATCATATGTGATGCTAGTGACAATAGTAACTGGATCTTTGTGGTGGTGGTGGTCATGGCGGTGGTGCAAATGTGCAGTAGTCATTGGTGAGGACGGGATGGGGATATTTGTGACCAATTATTTGATTAATTATAACTAATAAATTGGTTAATTTGTGATGAGTGATCTAAAAAATATGATTGTGACTCATAATTTATTAAGTTGTAACTGAAAAATTACTTTTGATCTGTTAAATTGATAATTTGTGATAATTAAATAAGTACTACTCATAAAATTTGTGATTTTGTGAAAAATTAATAAAATGTGACTTACAAAATATTTGATTTGTGATCGAGAAATAATTTGTGACCAATTAATTCAATAACTTGTGATCAAATGGTATAAAATTGTGACCTTAATATATTTAATTAATAAATATATTTTTAATCCATAAAAAATGCAATCAATATCTGATTTTTGAAGTTTTAAACATTTTTTTTAATATTTTGAAATGGGTCATACTTAATCTCTTAGTAGATGAATTTGGTATATTTGGATGTTAAAAATCATTTTCAGACGAATATTGATTGGTAGGGGTGTCAATTTGGCTGCCACCTAGGGCACCACAGAAAACTCGAGCCGAGGCTTGGGCCATGCCCATTTTGGAGTATTGGCTTGAGCCCGAGCTTGCTCGTAAGCATATTTATATTTAAAAAATAAAATCGACAACCATGTGTAACTACAAATTTCAGCAAGCAACCAATTAAAAAAATAAATTACGACTAGGCTGGACTCGATAATGCCCAAGTCGAAAGTTCGGATCGAACATCAATTTTTTGACTAAGCAAAAACTCGATTCAGCTGGGCCAAAAAAAGCTTGAACCACTTTTACTCGAGCCGAGCTCAAGTTTTGAGTATCGGCTCGCAAGTCGACTCAACTGGACTCGTTGACATTCCTATTGATAGTTGAGCTGTTTTTTTATACAACATAGTAAAGACTTGGAGTTTGAATTAAAGGTCATATGTGCAATTTTATGGTTGTTCGTTAAATGAATTTTTTAATGATTGAATGCTCTTGAATAAAGTTTATTATGATTCACATAGAGATGTGAGTTGACTTAATTGGGT